TGCATTGCATCTAACTCTCCAGACAGTTATTTGTCAAAAAGTTTATTTTACCAGGAAATTTCTACGTTCTTCAATATGTAGGGTATTTCAGGAAAGCAAGTCCTCCCAATTAATTTTTTTTTAAAGTTTACTATATTTTACTTTTATTTCTCTCTCCCTCTCTCTCTCTCTCTCTGTCTTTCCCTCCCCACCTCCCCCTCTTTTTCTCCCCGGGTCTTTTTCTCTCTGTTGTCTTCTCTATCAATTCCTTTATATCAACTCCCTTAACTTCTCACGCACATACATACATCCACTCAGTTAAAAAATGTATAACCAACGTTTGAAAGGGCGAGTTTTCACGAGTAAAGAGTTGAAATATACCACTCTAAAATGATGTTCCCCCACATCACTTATTTCTGGTTAACAGTCTCTCTCTCTCTCTCTCTCTCTCTCTCTCTCTTTCTATCTTTCTTATTATCTCAAATACACACATACACTTTCTTCCGTTCTTAGACATTTCTTTCCCTTATTTTATTTATTCTCTCTCTCTCTCCCTCTCTCTCTCTCTCTCTCTCTCTCTCTCCCTCTCTCTTTCTCTCTTTCTATCTTTCTTATTATCTCAAATACACACATACACTTTCTTCCGTTTTTAGACATTTCTTTCCCTTATTTTATTTATTCTCTCATTCTCTCCCTCTCTCTCTCTCTCTCCCTCTCTCTCTCTCTCTCTCTCTCCCTTCTTCCATCTCATGACAGGAGTTCATTGAGTAAACTTCAAACATAATACTAATAGAATCAAGGTGTTATACATGCATAGAATATATTCAATAAAGTTCATATCTCATAAAATTCATAATCTCTTTTGCATAATATGATACACTTTGTACATGCAATCTTCAATTAATTGAATAAAAACTTAACTACGGAGAGAAAGATGGAGAGATTTCAACCAGATTTCAAAGAATCAACGTATGTCTGTTGCCATTGGAATGATAGATGCATCAGTTCACATTTCTGCAGAGGCAATTTACATTCATCTAAATTGGAACAAGAGTGAGAATGATGGCACTAGAAGATGTTTAAACAAAAAATAGAAGCTGCACTATAAACAAAAATGTAAAGAGCATTGTTTTTTAAAAGATTAGAATCAATAAATTAACCAATACAAGGACAACCACTGTAGGTCAAGTAGATGTGTTAACTCTTTATATGCCGCACAAATAATCTCTGTATGCCACATTGTATTTATCTTGGGATAAATATTCCAAAGGTTTCAACATTATTTAACTCTTTCCAAAGCTATATTAAAGCCCCACTGTACTACTTATAGCTACTTGCGCCCTCTACATAACAAACAATGCCTAATCGGTGCATGTTGATCCCCTTTTTCTTATGTTAATTGAGAGCTGATTTGATGAGATAACCACCTGTCAGTAACATTGCAGGGAGGTCTAATCCCCCCTGGCCAAACTAGTACAGATATGCTTTAAATATGATTAGAACCATGACATTACCAAATACAAGGACAACCACTAAAGGTACAGTAGATGTGTAACCCTATATATGCCACACATATAATCTCTCTTTGCCATGATGTGTTTATTTGGGGATAGATATGCCAAAGGCTCAAGATTATTAAACTCTTTCCAATGCAATATTTATATAATATTGGATGGCTTGAGTGTGATACAAGAATATAGTGTGATACAAGAATATATTGTCATACCCAGAGCAATATGTGTCCATTTCACTTTTGTTGTTGATGCTTATTACATATTTAGATTAAACGCAATTTTCATTTCTTTTGTTTTGTAAAGTGCTTAGAAATTGTATTTGTATACCAGCGCTATATCAATCTTAGATATTATAATTATTATTATATTCTTGTATCACACAAAAACAAAGCTATATAATATTATTATTATTATCTATATCAGGCTGACTAGCGTAATTTCAAAAAATATCGATATCGATAGTTGAAGTTCCCGGATGACTGAGCAATATGAAAACAATATTGATCAGTCATCCGGTTAATGCACTAAAAATAATAAATACACTATTTAATTGTACCACTTGGAAGCCTTATATAAGTAATAATAATCTATACTGGTGTTAAGAGGGTTGTCTTGGAGCTAATTAAGACCTGAAATGGGTAATTTTGAAAAGCCATTGTGTTGCACAAAGCACATTTGGTCAGCTGGTGCCTATTGTTTTGTGCAAGATTACACAAGTGGCAAACGAGGAACCGTGTAGACAGGCAACGAAAGCAGACAGAGTGTTAATTCAATATCGCTAACAAGGAAATGCATCATAATTGGTCTGTTTTACCATACACATATGAGGCATGTTGGTCAACAGGAAATAGGAAATACAGAGTGGAACTTGTATACTGTCGTTGTTACATTTCCTCTTCAATAAACAAACAAACAAAAACACATCACTTCTTGTCTGTTTTCCTGATTCACTTGATGCCTTAACAATGTAAAATAACAAATCATAGTTTTCATTTAGGGCTACAGTTAACGACTGAATTATTCGTACCCTTACCAAGACTGAGTTTGGATATCTTTTTAATAATAATAATAATATTCCGCTTTTATATAAAGCCCAGTATATTGATACAACGATGTGTCTAAGCGCTATACAGATATATTATTACCCCAGTCATCGGACTCAGGCTTACCTGCACACAGTGTATGCACATTCTCCACTCCCTTTAAGTACATGTATGAGAAAAATTTATTTTTCTTGATTCATGTTTCTTGAGAATGTGACATTATTTTTAAAGCTTACATCTAAAAGTATTTTTACAATGGCACTAATGCAACCATTCCACCTTTCATTCTTGAGTTAAGAAAGACACATAACTTTACAAATGGTATTAATAATTCTGTTGTTAACAATAATGTTAATAGTATGTACATTTGGCAAGTTTCATAATATTTGAGATAAGAAAGTGCAATATTAGTCTGTTCCTTTTTCAATATAAACAGCAACTGATACTGTGACCTAACAAAACAAACAAAATTGACATTCAGAACACTTTGTTTTGATATGGAATCAACTTAGGGGGCTGCAATCTACAAGCCCAGCTTTTCAGCAGTCCCCTCCATGACCAACCTGTTTTATAAGCCTGTTGTGCACTGTGGACCAATTACAAATATATTTTTAACTTTCATTGTTTTACTATGTACAACGCAATCTCATGTACTTTATTTATTTTGTTGGAAATGGAAATAAAATGAAATTTGAAACAGAACATGAAAATACAAACCAACAACAACAATGTGTTTGAAATAAACTCTCTGAAAATTTCACGACATGAAGGAATACAAAATCATCAATACTTACATGATGTCAATTATTGCTAACCCAGTTATACCAAAAAAAAAATATTATTAGGTTGCCATTCGAGCTAATCATGGAGAGGGGGGGGGGGGGGGGGGGGCTTACCATTACTTTATACATATCATTTCATGATGAATTATCCCTGTAACAATAATTGAAAGAACAGAACAAACAATTTGTTTCATTTCATTCAACACAGTACCACAGCATCCGATAAGAGGATGTTTATCAAATAAGGATGTTGTAGACAGACTAACTTTCATTTGTATTATTTTTGTTTGATTATATCAAGAACAAAAAAATGTCAGTTTCCTGTCATTGTAAAACATTCAATCCGGTTTGTTTTTGAAATTCTTTACCACTACAAAAAGAGAGAGGACAAACATACAATAACACATACATAATACTGCACTTCATGGAGAGCCAGGAGGGCGTTAACTCTGAGTTAAAGGATATGAATTAATGACCTTCTGGATTTTAGGACATGACTCATTTCATGCAACTAGTAGCATCTATTTTATAAATGTAATGCTTCCTGGGAGAAATTTCAATTATTTTAACATATTTGTGGCTTACACCCAGTAAATAAGATTGATTGATCTGTATTGAAAAACAAGTCAGAAAAACTCTTGGAACCAGCGGGAATCGGGAGAGCTTGGGTATTTGTTTCTAGTTCATCGTGACTGTGCCATGGACCAGTGATGGCCTGGTGGTAGAGTCGCTGCCCGGCAAGCAGTAGATGCAGGTTCAAGTCCCGCTGGTTCCAAGATTTTGTATGACCTGTTTTTCAATACAGATCGATCTTATTGACTTGGTGTAAGCCACCAATATGTTTAAATAGTAGCATCTAGTAGCATAACCAATACATATCGTTTGGTTGTTCTGAAATACGCAGGAAAGGGATGGTATTTATTGTAAGATAATCACAGCAGTCCCTTGAGATGGTGATAGGTCAGAAGACAGAATATGATGACCACGCGCATTACAAAAGACTCCAGCAGTTGTAGAATATCATTTTGGTGGTCATCAGTAGGTGGTCAAATCATACAAAGCTAATGTGGTTAGATTAGCAAGTGTGCGCATGTAAAAATGACGCCTGGCTGGAATGCTCCCCAGGGAGTGGAGAATGTGCATACATTGTGTGCGGGTAAGCCTGAATCCAATGACCGGGGTAATAATATACTTATCTGTAAAGCGCTTTGTGAGGGCCTCCGGTCCTGAAAAGCGCTATATAAGAACGAGCTATTATTATTATTATACATCAAGACCCCGCTTTTGACCATCATTAAAAATGAACTGAAACCAATGCACCAAAGGTCATTATCATGTCATCTTTTGTTGGACTTTACTATGGCAGGCCATTCATGCCACTGGTTGCTCTCACCATTGGTCTCTCAATAATGATTTTTAGATTTTTAAAAATTCCTTTATAATTGAATTATCAAGAAATTTAAATTCTGTAGATTTGTGACCATGATTTGTACGTCCCTTGAGAGACCAATGCCAGTAAACGGTGAGAGCAAATCGTAGCGTGAACATCCTGCCATAGTTAAGTCCAACTTAAAGTCGATCTTAGTCTTTGTGATACGGGTCCCAGGTCTTTCTTCATTCCTCTCTCTCCATCATGCTTTCTCTTTCCTGCTTTCTCCTTTTATTTCTTTAACCAAGTGTTCTTTGGCACCAAGGTGTTAAATGGGTACCAGTAGAAAATTATTTGAATGCTGTGAGCAAAGTCGTAGCCAAGCTAGCGCTGGGGTGATATTGCAGCATCTGATCTTGAGCACTCTGCGTCACGGATATGCGCCCATGGAATATGCCCACACATCACCAAAACAGATGAACTTTGATGAAAGAATATCCAATGTTACTTTCTTTTGTTATCTTCCTCTCTGTCTCCATTCATCCTTCTTCCCATCAATATCTACCCCTTTGTCTCTCCATCTCTCCCTCTGTCTCCATCCAGCCCATCTCCCCATCAACATCTATCCCTCTGTCTTTCCATCTCTCCCTCTGTCTCTCCATCTATCTCCCTCAGTCTAATCACTGAAATCATCGTCAGAACTGTTGTCTTGGCTACTGAAGTCATCTGAGTCGGATTCTTGATTGACAGGCGGGGCAGGAGCATTGGGTGTGCTGAAAACAAGTGGTTATGACATATGAAAAGTTAAAGCCCCTGAATTGTGTTGGGAGCCCCAAATTCGCCAACTAGATGGAATTTTGACTGCGCGCAGTCGAAAATGATGCCTCCGCCATAGAGCAATTTAAACAAGTTTGGAGTTTAAATCTCCAGTGGTTCTTGAGATATCATGATAACAATCTCAATGTATGGAATTTCATAAGTTGACCTCTGTGACCCTTGACCTTTGACCTACGTGCTCCAAAATCTAATCAGATTGTCTTCCTATGGTGATACACACTATCATTAAGTTTGAAGTTTAAATCTCCAGTGGTTGTTGAGATATTATGATATGGTGATACATACTATCATTAAGTTTGAAGTGAAAATTCTCCAGTGGTTCTTGAGATATCGCGATAACGATCTCAATGTATGGAATTTCATAAGTTGACCTCTGTGACCCTTGACATTTGACCTACGTGCTCCAAAATCTAATCAGATTGTCTTCCTATGGTGATACACACTATCATTAAGTTTGAAGTTTAAATCTCCAGTGGTTCTTGAGATATTATGATAACAATCTCAATGTATGGAATTTCATAAGTTGACCTCTGTGACCCTTGACCTTTGACCTACGTGCTCCAAAATCTAATCAGATCGTCTTCCTATGGTGATACATACTATCCTTAAGTTTGAAGTTTTTACATCTCCAGTGGTTCTTGAGATATCATGATAACAATCTCAACGTATGGAATTTCATAAGTTGACCTCTATGACCCTTGACCTTTGACCTACGTGCTCCAAAATGTAATCAGATTGTTTTCCTATAGTGATACACACTATCACTAAGTTTGAAGTTTAAATCTCCAGGGGTTCTTGAGATATCATGATAACAATCTCAATGTATGGAATTTCATAAGTTGACCTCTGTGACCCTTGACCTTTGACATACGTGCTCCAAAATCTAATCAGATCGTCTTCCTATGGTGATACATACTATCCTTAAGTTTGAAGTTTAAATCTCAAATGGTTCTTGAGATATCGCGCTAACAAACTCAATACAAGGAATTTCATAAGTTGACCTCTGTGACCTGTGACCTTTGACCTACGTACTCCAAAATCTAATCAGATCGTCTTCCTATGGTGGTAAATACTATTCCCGAGTCTTAAGTTTAAATCTTAAATGGTTCTTGAGATATTGTGATAACGGTCAAACGGGACGGACGTACGGATGGACAACCCGAAAACATGATGCCTCCGGCACCACCTTCGGTGGCGGAGGCATAAAAATGTAATGGCTAAATTTCACTTAAATTGTATCATAATGTGAAAGAAGATGTCATTTAAGATACACTTCTGTAAATAAATGTGTTTGAAAACAAATAGTGATAACAGAATACATAATTTACGGTTTTCTGTTTTCTGTTGTACGCAGAAAACCTAAAGCTTGTATTCTTTCATGAATATTGGACTTTAACATTTATTCTGAAAATCCTTGCAGAAGTGTGTCTTGAATACAACCCTCTTTCACATTATGATACAATTTAAGGGAAAATGTTGGCATCAAATTGATGGGGCTCCGTTGAGATCAGAGTAGGCATTTGCCCTAGGAAATGCAATAACAAAGCATGCTTTTGCTTTTGATTTTCTTCTAAAAAAAATTCACATCTTCTTTTGTGAACTGATGTTACTCTTCTCTATCGAGATTTGCTTAAATGCGACTGTCCTTAATAATAAGACTATGTTTGAAGAGATAGAGTGACCCTTATCTCCTAATAAAATATTTAAGATAAACATGTAGTAGTACCTTGTGATCTGCAGTCCAGTGACGTATCCATTAGACCATGACACCTCTACCATGTTTATATGTTTCTAACAAAATGGTTATAAAGTCATCAAACTGAATGAAATAGATGAAGGAAAATGCATCTATAGTTGCTCCATTTGGAAAGGACAACCATCCAATAAACCTGTCTATAGCAACCGCCCAAGGGAAACAAAAAATGTGGTCTTTGTAGACAGGTGGTCACTAAAGCAGGTTTGACTGTACTAACAAAGTGATAGCTTGATACAAATTTCCCCGTGTCCACACACAACACTTCCTGTGATTAGGGGTGATTAGTTATACCGTTTCGCGATAGTTATACAATGAAATTGTGTGTGTGGATGCTTACTAACGATATGTGGTACAACAAAACGTTGTATAACGAAACGCGGGTTTGGGCATCGTTTCGAACTAGAACTCAATAAAGAATCACGCCTAATCACAGAATGTATTGTGTGTGGACGTAACTAATATAATTGGTCGAACTAGAACGGTCTAACTGGGCGGGGCTTAACGCGACCACGCGCGAAAGGAGACCTGATCTCACATTTCCGCTTTTGTTTCATGACCGCAGTAGCAAACTGCCCACTCATACAACATTTCGCTGTAGAGTTTCGGGATTTCTTTCTGGTGTGTGTGGACGCCCTGGAATTTATATGTGATTCTTCATACGACATTTCTTTACAGAGTTTCGGCATAAGAATTGTTGTGTGTGGACACACTCTTTGACTACTTACTCGAGATAAGCAGGATCCAAGCAGTCCAGGAGTACCCTCTGCTTCAGGGCGTCTACAGGCACACCCTAAAGGAGAAATAGAAGAAAGAATTTCATGTGAGCATGAAAAGTAACGTTTAAAAATTTGAGTTCTGGTTAAAAAAAAAAAAAAAAAAAGAATTCTCACAGAATCAAACAAAACTTACACTGAATGTTCAAGATTACAAATAAATGTCATTTGCCAAACAATTTTGGTAGAAAATGTATACTGGCTGAGTGACTGAGTAATGAAATAAGGAAATCAAGGTAAGTAGGCTCGACACCATAGTCCCATATACATCTTTCTGTGTACAGTGCTTTTTACCAAAACTGGGCCAAATTTATTATAATTTTGATGACTCCAGAACCATGCAGTACACACCAATACTTACATGCTACATGATCAACTTTTTCTGATCCATTCCACACCTTTTCTTTCACAATGCAATCGCATTACCAGAACTCAACTTTGTCTTAAATATTACATGAATCATTGTCTTTGCTTTACTTTATCTATCCTAATAAAAAATACTCTCTTCTTTAACTCATGTACATGTACATTAGCTGTATGAATCGTATCATTATTAGTTTAAGTAGTTTAAGCCTACATTGCACCCTACATGATTTAAAAGATTAATTTTGTGTGCGCTGTCTACTACTTTTGGACCAAGAAAGCCTGTCTTTCATCTTTAGAATTCAAATTGGCTCATGAATTAAGAAGACTTAAACATGAAATCATAGAATCAACAGTGAACCAAGTTTTCAAATGGTGTATGAGGTCTTAGGTATGATACAAGTATGAAACTATAGGGTTAAAGCCAATGAAGCCATTATTTTGTGCAAAGAATAATTTGACGGAGTGAGATCTCTAATCGCATTTACGATGTTGGACAGTAGAAGGCGCCCTTCCTCCCACACTGCCCAGGTCAGCACATGCGCAGATACGATACTGGGGAAGACAATATGTCAAGGTTTCCTCCAGCTTCCATAGAGAATGTCCAGCAGTGTCAACTAATTCCTGATTTTACTAAATTTTTGATCAGGTTTCATGAACTCCCTCATTTATTTCATGAAATCTATGAAGGCACGATCCTAATATGTTACTGATAGTTCATTGGTTCCCAAACTATAATTTATATTGGACTTTCCAATTCTCGACCAATGGGAAGTGCCTTTGCCAAATATTAGAACCCCTGGCTGGTTCTGCCCTCGATGGCCAAATACCGGAGTTGTGGTAGCGAGAATTAAAGGCCGTCTGTACTAGTTTGGCTAGGAGGGATTAGACCTCCCTGCAAGGTCACTGACAGGTGGCTATCTCATCAACTCAGCTCTCAATTAATATAAGAAAAAGAGGATCATGGGGGACCAATGGTCACTGATTAGGCATTTTTTTTCTATATAGAGGGTGCAACTAGCTACAAGTAGTACAGTGGGGCTTTAAAAGCACTCTGCTAAAAAAATTAGTTCTACCAAAAGGTCACTTACCATGTTGATCATCTTGAAGTATTTAATATATCTTGGATCTTGAGATACGGTCATGACAGCAGGCGCTGGTTCTGGTGTGGCCTCAATCGCTGGTATACCCTAAAAATACAAAGAAAATCAAATGATGTTGGTATTGTTGACTCATACTCTGAAGCTGTTTCTTATTTCTAAATAGTAATAGCAAGAAAGTGGAAGTCTTATGCAGCAGTCTACTTCAGAAGTTTTTTAGTTTTCAGGATTGAGCTTTACAATTTCACGCCAATTTCAAGCAGAGTTATAACCATTATATTTATACTCTTGTCAGATTCCCCCAAAAAACACACATGCACATGAAGCACGACCACTCAATATGAACCTACTATCTATACTTTTAGTCCCTTCAATTTCCACTGGAATCTGCATACTCTTTTTTTCCCCAAAAAATAAATGCAGATGAGATGAAGAAAACACATTTTATTACTTCATGATGAAGAAGTCTTATGCCTCAGTCACACCTTTACGTATTTGGCTTGCGTATTGCTGCGTATTTATGGCAAGGGCTAACTTTTCAGAGATATACAGGTAACATACATTTATAATACATTTATATTCTTTCAAGAACACAATTCTACAAGGTTAAAACACTTATCAACAATATTCTGTTGGATACCTCTTCCAATATATTTAATAATAATAAAAATAAACCATTCTTATATAGCGCATATCACAAAAATAAATTAGAGTCCCTACGCGCTCAGAAAAAAGAAAAGAAGAGATAATACCAGACATGACGGAAGAGAAGAGAAAGGATAACTGCTTTGTCATAACATTGTACTATTTTAACAAACACAAAAATGTGTCTATAAGAGACTCTTGAAATTTTATAATTCATCAACCTGCTCAAGATGATTGATTTGATACTAAAGTCAAAGTTCACTTACCGATCCATCTGCAGGTTCCGATGATGGGAGGGCGGGGAGGTTAGATGGCTCAGGAGCAGCTGGTGGCGGGGTAGTCTCCACTGTGACATTCTCTAAGCCAGGGATGGAGGCAAGCTGCGTACAAAAAATAAAATAAGGAGGCGTGATGGCTCAGTGGTAGAGCAGTGGTCTTGTAACCGGGAGGTCTTGGGTTCAAAACCAAGTCAATACGCTTATGCTCATTTGGTATTAAAGGTACGAATCCTCATTACCAAGTCACTTGGAGAAAACTCAAAGCCGTCAGTATCCTGGTTATTAACTTACAAGCATAAACATCCTTTCTAAGCAGTCATGTTACAGATAAAACAATCATCATCATCATCATCATCATCATCAATAAAAAGAAACAAGTAAAAGATTGCACAACGCATGGCATGGATGTGTGACAACTACCACCAACTAACCAACCAACTAATCAGCCAGCACAAAGAACAGTAAGAAGAGATACAAGGCCCAACAAATTCATACCTTTAACAGGTTTTGTCATTATTTAAGTATGCAAAAAATGTATTAGTCCCAATTTATGTTTCTTGAGAAGCAAGATCTGGATAGAATGTAATGATTTCAAAATCACATCGTACTGTGAATCAGAGCCATGACAATCATTACCTTTGCTTCCAATATGTTGACTGTGGTTTCCAGCCTCTGGATACGAGTCGTAATATCTGATAATTTCTGAGAAAATTTAGGAGATAGAAGAACATAAATTAAATGTATTTTCAATATGTGTGCTAGAATCATTTCAATCACCACAAATTCTTCTGACATGATTTCCTGATACTTACAATGTATAAGTACTCTTATTGGCCCAAATTCACAAAGGAGGTTTAACTTAACCCATGGTTCAAACCCTCATTTACATGGTTTAAAATTAGTGCAAAATAAGGGCGACGCAGTCAAGAGGTCCAATATTAGACATGCCAAAGGCAAGGTACGCTTATTTTGTGCTTATGTTTAAACCATGGGTTATGTAAATGAGGGTTTAAAGTTTACCTCCTTTGTGAATTTGGGCCATCATGTTTCAAGTGATAATTGCAGGTAAATTATATCATTTTTTTAAAAATCTTTTAGTTCACTTGCAGTACATAATGATTTTTAAAAGCTAATCTAATGTGTGTTGCAAAGGCCTATCAAAAAAGGACAGAAATTCATCACTGTCAAAATTTTGATGAATGATTTTTATCCAAATTTCAAGAGCATTAATTATGTGCATAATAACAATGAAAACGCTCACAAATTATTTGTCACCTTTCCCCAGAAATTAACTTTTTTCTTAAGCCGGACCAGACCAGGATTTTGCATCACGAGATACACACCGAGACCAAATACATGCAGGACCTTAAGCCCCTTTCAGACCTGGCCATGCGTAGAGTTGCGTAGTGTTGCGTACCGACTATGCCAAGCGAACGCTGCCCTACGCTGGCCTACTTAACTATACGCTAAGGGACACAAAGGGGAACGTGAGATGGAAGCAAAAATTTAAACATGTTTACTTTTGTTGGCGTTCTTTCGGCGTAGACACTAGACGCAGAAAGTATGATTTTGTACGCAAGTCTACACCACACTACGCAACTCTACGAAGATCCGGTCCGACTGAGGCATTAGAGGCTTGTTGTTCTTACCGTTTCACAGACGCAAGAGAACTTGTTGAGGAACCTGGTGGTGTGAATGATGAAGTGATTAAGGAAGGCTAGCATTCGCTTGGAGTGTATAGCACCAACCTGACAGAAAGAGACAAAGAAACATAAAGGGTAACGTTTATCAGTCTTCTTATGGATACTTCTGAATGAATTTTTTTAACCCTTCCACAGGGATCCTTTTTTTTTATAATGTCGTTCATATAGACTCTATGTAAACAAGAATTGATGTATGCATGAAGAATTTCAAAATGATATTCTTGGCCATCCAAAATATGATAAGAACAAACATTTATACATACGTGTAGATATCAGTTACAAATTGAAGTTCACTTTTTTAAATATCACAGATTTACTTGGCAAAATGATTTTAGAAGAAATAAACAATCAGAAACACTTTGCAAAAAGGAACCACTTTTTCTTAAATTTCTTTTCCTTCAAGTTTGTTTTACAAATATACTTTTCCATGTTATAATAACACTTTATCGCTGAATAAAAAAAGGATTGACACGAATAATAATAATAATAATAGATCACATTTATAACGTGCCTAATACATTGTTTCTAGGCGCAGTGGTGCTGTTGTCCCAGCAGCCATTAAGTGAAGAAATATCCTTACACAAAATAAAGCCGGGATGACAGCACCACAAGTACACAATATCATTCAGTACACAATTACAGTATGTTATGCTATGTTACGTTACAAAATAAAAATTAAAGTTTGTTACAAACAAATGAATAAATCAGCTTAATCTAACTTAAATTCTGCTCAAGATGACTTATTTCATAACAAATAAAAGTACAACATCATTTATTTATTTGACATGTTTAGAGAAGACAAAATTCATGGTATGTTTTTGAACAGATGAGTTTTTAACATTACTTTGAAAGTGGATGTAGAAGGAGCATTTTGAATGTAGGACGGGAGGCTATTCCACAACTGGGGGGCAGCTACAGAAAGCGCTCTTTCCCCGTATCTTGTTTTCACACGAGAGTCAGGAATTAATTGAAGGTGAGAGGAAGTAGAAGCACGCAACCTGGAGGAGGGGGGTTTGGATTTTACAAGACTGGAAAGGTACGTGGGGCCTTATAGGTACGAATGGGAGGGCGTGTCTGAGTAAAGGACCAAATTATTATTACAACACATAACAGTCCAACCCAAGAAGTCGTGGGTGATTCTCTCAAGTACCCAACTCTACCATAACTCATTTTCCCCTCGGAAAGTAACTACGTGGAATGCACTTCCTATTTTTTGATAAATAAGTTACAAATGTTACCCTGTTATTTGTTTTTTATTAAAAATAATTTTTACCTTCTTACTTAGCTATGGTTTCTCTCATTGAAAAGTAAAGGTTTTGGTGTTGAAATAAAATGTATTTCCAACTATAGTTTGGTGCATGATACATGTACAAGTTCGCCTGGTATGCACATTTTCAAGAAAATGGCTGCGCCCATGTCATGCTTAAAAATTAAAGGCATTATGATTACACTTACATACAGCATGCCAAGAATATCTTCATTTATTTATCTGCTGTTCATCTCATTTTCCAGAAAACCTGAACTTATTATTTGGGGTGAGGTTTCCTTTAAAGGCCCACTGCACTACTGGTAGCTACTTGCGCCCTCTATATAACAAACAATGCCTAATCGGTGACCATTGGTCCCCCATGATCCTCTTTTTCTTATGTTAAGTGAGAGCTGAGTTGATGAGATAACCACCTGTCCAGTGACCTTGCATAGCGGTCTAATCCCTCCTATAAACTACGGCAGATAAGCTTTAAGTTTGGACATCCCATATAAGCCATTCGAGGACACCCCCCCCCCCCCCCCCCCCCCCCCCCCCCCCCCCCCCCTCTTCTCTCTCTCTCTCTCTCTCTCTCGTCTTTTTTTTTTTTTTCTTCTTCTCGTTCGCAATCTTACATTAATTTTTACATACTAAACTGATTCTGAATGACCTTCTTGATCATTTCTTATACAGCATTGATTTCCCCGTAATCTTTCTGTAATTTAACTTTTTAGTCTACAAATGGCAATACGTACATGGAATGAATCTACCGTACATGCTCACTAACAGGTGGGACCGAAGAGAATTTTGTGACGCCCCTCACGCCAATCACTGCACTAAAAATGGAATAAAAATACATGTTTTCACCTTGGTCAAATCAACTCCTGGTCCTACAAGGGGTAATCCATCGGCATCCATTTTGATTCAGTCGTAGGCCTCGATGAAGTATGAAATTAAAATATCTGGTAGATTACTTTCCTGCTTTTTCTGTGCTTGGTGTTTCGCTTAATCTTTCGGTCACAAGATTTAGAAATTAGTCTTTAAATGTAGACCTTCATAAAAAAAATGATCCCGTATTCTGATGGATAATTTATTATCTCTAAAAAAAATCAAAAATCCTGAATAGACTTTAGATCATTGTAATGAATTATTCCAATGTTTTTCATTGGAAAAAAAAACTACGACTTTTCACAGATAGGGCCTACTGATTTTTCCGTAGAGATCATCAGTGGCTGGTACCACTGATCTCTACGGAAAAATCACTCAGACGTAGTTCATTGCTAAAGAATCCTAGACAACTCGACCAAGGTGACCAAGTCGAGTTGGCCAGCCTGGGTGGGAATAAAGAGTGCCTAGCTCTTTTTACATAGGAAAAGTGCCCCTTTAACTATGTAATAAGTGCCCCTATTAATTTTTTTAAGTGCCCCTTCCCCTTTCCACCTCCAATAAGTGCCCCTTTTATTTTGACACGTATCCCTTTCGCTTTTCCTTCGACAAATTCCCATTTTTCCTTTGCAATAAGTGTCCATTTTCCATTCTCATAAGTGCCCTTTTTAATCTTTAGCAAATGCCCCTTATCAGGTACGAGAAGCGCCCATTTTCACTTTTGAAAAGCGCCCCCTTCACCTCTGATAATTGCCCTATTTAAATCTGAGAGGTGCCCTTTTTCCTTTGGAAGCAGTGCCCCTTCCCCTTTTAATAACAATTTTTTTTTTAAACTCGGATAAGCGCACCTTATATTTTCACATGTGCCCCCTTTCCTTTCAAATAAGTTCCCATTTTTTAATGAAAAGTGCCCCCATCAAAAAGAGCCTCTTCCCCCTTCTCATAAATGTCCGTTTTTAACCTATGAAAATAGTTTTCATTCTCATAAGTGCCTCTTTTCATCTCTCGTAAATGACCTTATTCAATTCTGAGAGACTAATTATTCGTTTTAATTTGACAAGTGCCCCTTCCCCCTCCTGAAGTGCTCTTTTCATCTCTAATAAATGCCCCTTTTATTTTGACAAGTCCCCCTTTTCCTTCCTAATAAATGCTCCTTTTCCGTCTTAAGTGCCCCTTCCGCTTCTTATAATTTTCATCTCTGATAAGTGTCCCGTTTATTTTAACATGTGCCTCTTTTTCTGTTAAATAAGTACCTCTTTCCCCTTCTCACAAATGCCCCCTTCCAATTCTGTTAAATAAGTACCTCTTTCCCCTTCTCACAAATGGCCCCTTCCAATTCTGATAAATGCCCCTATTAAAATCTGATCTGTGCCCCTTTTCTTTCAACACTAAGCACATTTCTAATAGTGCCTTTTTTTTGCATTATCATTAGTGCCTCTTTTCATGTTATAAGTGCCCATGTTTACCTCTGATAATTACCCTTTTAACAATGACACGTGCCCCTTTTATTTCAGGTTCGAAACTGAGTCAAGTCTTTCGGATGGTGACGTTTAAAGGTCGGTCCCCAGACGTAAATAATCTCTGATTGATACACGTCTGTAAAAACCATAGAGATATATAACTACTAACACTAACCAGGGCATGTGAGTTAAAGTCTCACCTCCCTGCACTAACTACTAACTACTAACCCAATACACATGCTAGAAACTGGCGACCATTAAGAAAGGAGGCTAGCCACCAATAATGGGGGCTATAGTTTCTTCAAATAGTACATTCGAAAAGGAAATAGAAAATTGTGCACGGCTCGGGGGATGTTAACGACAACAGGAGTAAGAGACTTAAATTTGAATATCTTTAAAGGTATCGAATGCCATTGGAACGAAAAAATAACCTTTATAGTTGTACAGCTTTTTGTCTGAGCCTTACTGTTTCTTTCTAGATCCCAACTAGATCCCAATTAAATTTTTCAGACAAAGATTGATGTTATTGCTTCTCTTTTGAAACATTTTTTTACATCGTGGAATTTACATGAGAAGCGCAATTTGGTTTATGTTTACATTGTTAACTATTTGAATGGTAATCCCTATCGCACTTTAAAATACTCAAGGGGTTACAATATAGTACATTACTGTCTTGTTTAGGATTCTGTAAACTTTTGTGAATTCGGGAAAAAAAACCAGTAGGGTGTATTTTGGCTTCAGTTTAGGGGGGGGGGGTGTGAAAAACATGTGGTCACGTTCATGTATGCTAACAAAATTTATACACAGGCGCGGATCCAGGATTTTTTTTGGATTTTTTTTTTGCCCCCGAAAATTTGAAAATCGCGGGGGGGGGGGGGGGGGGGGGGGGGGGGGAGGGGGGCTGAAGAGGACACTTTTTTTTTTTGTCTCAAAATTTGGAAAATTGACATTTTGCTCCGTTGGGGGGGGGGGGGGTAAGGTCACCTTTCTTAGGTCAGCCATGGGGGTGATTTTTTTTTGATTTTTTTGATTTTTTTTTTAAAAAATAATTAAAAAAAAAAAAAAAAAAAAAAAAACCAAAGGGGGGGGGGGGGGGTTAGGGATTTTTTAGGGGGTTTACACACATAAAAATACCAAAGAGGGGGGTTTAACCCCCAAAACACCCCCCCCCCCCTGCGTACGCGCCTGGTTATATTATTATATTTCATTAAACACTCTATGAGCTAAAAAGTTGATATCCAATAAAGCTATGATTTCATTTTCAAATTTGAAAAATTGTTGAAACTAAGGTATGTAGTATTTTGTTTAGTTCAATCTAAATTTATTTATTTATCAATATCAATAGTCTTAATGCTAAAAATCACGAACATCTATTCGCTTGCTAAACTAAACTACGTATAAGTACGTGTTCCTATTTAATGGGTGTATTATAATTTCAACTTGAAATTGAAATTAGACGTTTTCAACGTTTGAAATGTACCAGCTTATGCGGTATTTTCTCTTCTATAATATTCCACGTTTTATTTTCGCATTGGATACTCTATATTATAGTAAAGGCATTGATTCAATTTTTCTTCTCTTTATCACACATTTTACACATTCATTTTCCATTTTCTTTCTAGAAGATACCATAACGTGAATTCTAATGTTTTCCGGGCTACCAATCGACACCGATTGAAACATGTACACGTCGTACATGAATAGGCTATGTTGTTTCGATACGTCTATAGATCTAGGTCTAATTGACATTTATAACTAGACTTTGTACATTAACGATAGGACTTAGTTTATACATGTACCAGCAATATTAACAGCACTAGATCTAGCCGGAGCCAGTAGTTGTCGGCGTTGATCTCCGAATTACTTTTTAGCTTAAAGATAAATTGAAGGTGAGTTCTGGTAATGCATAGAGGTCTAGGCTATGCGATTGCATGGTGAAAGAAAAGGTGTGGAATGGATCAGAAACAGTTGATCATGATTTAGCATGTCAGTATTGGTGTGCACTGCAAGGTTCTGGAGTTATCAAAATCATAATAAATTTGGCCGAGTCTTGGTAAAGTAACAAGCACTGTACACACAGAGCTATATATGGGACAACACAAATGGTGTCGGGGCTAGTAGACTACTACCTTGAGTGTCTTTCTATGCTCATTACTCAGCCAGTAGGTCCATACATTTTCTTCCAAAATTGTTTGGCACATGTCATTTATTTGTAATATTGAACACTCATTGTAAGTTTCGTTTGATTCTGTGAGAATTGTTATTTTTGTTTTTTTTACCAGAACTGGAGTTTATCTTTAAGGAAAGGATGAAGACATGGCACAAGAAGAGGAAACTAGAGACCTCGACCTTCCGGTAGAAAAGTTAGATAGGGAGGATGGTGAGGGTGAGGAGGATGCATCTGATGAGAGCTATAGCGACTCCGAGGCCGCGTATGACTCTGATGGTCAAGACATCGGAGATGGATTACTAATCTATGATTGCCCACCTTCCCAAGACACAGAACATATGTGGCAGTGGCATTTTCCACAAGAGTTCATACCAGATGGTTGTGTTGATTATGATGATCATTACTCCGGGAGCGGAAAGTGGATGTTGTTCTACCCAGTGTCTGAGATCGATGAAAAATGGGAGATGGCAAATGATTTGTTTGATACCGGTGAGCTGAGGGGTGTGGAGGGAATGAAAGTCTCAACCGCTAAGGTCAATCCAAAAAGTTCTGATAATGCCACGGCAGTGCTTATCATGTATTGTGGACCGTGGACTGATGAACTGCTCATGAGAAAAATTGGGAGAAATCTGGCTCTAAAAACAAAATATGAGAGTAAGACTGGTTGTATGATGTACAAAACAGACGACCAAACCAGAGGGGGGACAAGGGCAACAGGTCAAGCTGTAAACCATGTTTACCAGATGCAGGTGCCGAGGCCTGTCGAAGGAACTGCTAGCTCAGCAATGCCGGAACTTCTTCCGTCCAAAGACACAAGAGACTTTTGGCAGTGGCACTTTCCCGCGTGTTCACCGTCTGGTTGCGCTGAGGAATATGACTTCTCAAAGAGTGGGCGATGGATGATGTTCTATTCATTGGCAGAGATCGACGAGAAATGGCAGGTTATGAAAGGCTTGTTGGATTCCAATGAACTGGATGGAGTTCGAGGATTAAAAGTCTCTACAGCCTCCTCCCTACCAGTTAACCGAAGGGGAAACAGGTCTGCAGTTATTATGGTCTACTGTGGGCCATGGGATGACGAGGATCTTGTGTTGAGAGTAGGAACGAATCTAGTCCAGAAGACCTCGTATACAAACGAATCTGGCACTCTTCGCTACAAGACAGATATAGTTGGAAATGGAAGGACAAGTTCGGGACAGTTTATTCCTAGATACAAACAGGTGTTACCGGTTTCCAGGCCAAGTATGGGGGCCAACTATAGCCAATCAGTAGTGGCAGAACTCCCACCATCTAAAGACATGAGAAGCTATTGGCAGTGGCATCCCAAGTACCAAGATCGCAGGTTTACAAACTATGACTCATCTTTGAAGGGAAAATGGATGCTGTTTTATCCTTCGTCAGATATCGATGGCATGTGGCAGCTGATTAAGGATCTGTTCGACGCTGGGGAACTGCACGGAGTCAGTGGTGCAAAGGTCTCTACAGCAAAGAGCTGTGGTGGACATCCTGGAAAAAACAGCGGAGTTATTATGGTGTATTGTGGACCGTGTGATGACGCAGAGCTCATGTTGAAAATCGGGGAAAACATTGCGTTGAAAACAACATATGAAGACAGATCTGGTATCATGCGTTACAAGGTAGATACTCCAAGAGATGGGAGAAGATTAACAGACCATAGTAGCCCTAGCTACTGGGTACAAGTACCAAAGCCTCAGGCGATGTGGACAAGCACCTGGGACACAGCAGAACACCCGCCTTCCAGAGACACAGCAGAACACCCGCCTTCCAGAAACATGGCAGAACACCTGCCTTCGAGAGACACAGCAGAATGCCGGCCTTCCAGAAACACATTGGAATGCCCGCCTTCAAAAGACAAGATTAACTACTGGCAGTGGCATCGTAAACCTGTCGATGGTATTGAATATGATCCCTCAACGAGCGGGAAATGGATGCTCTTCTATCCAACCTCAGAAATTGATGATCGGTGGCATCTTGTGAAGAGTCTGTTCGACGCTGGAGAACTGCACGGAATTGGAGAATTAAATGTTTCTACAGCAAAGGGCAATGCTGGACATCGTGACAGCGGGGTCATCAACGTGTATTGTGGACCGTATGACGACGGAGAGCTTATGATGAGAATAGGAAAAAATCTTGCAAGGAAGATGCAGTACAAAAACAGGAAAGGAGTCATGTTGTACAAGACAGAGGGACAACAGATGAAGCAGGGTAGAGCGATGGGACAGGAATGGGACCATCTTTACGAAATAAGTTTGCCATGGAGGTACTAATGACATGGAAGCTACATGTAGTTCACATACCGATTAAAATTATGTTCATACTCTACGAAGGGCCTCTTCAGCTTTTGTGCTGTTCTTCAAAATTATAATCATTAGTGCCAGTAGCGAACATTGGCGAGATTTAAAGACAAAGTGTGATTAAATGTTGATACCTAAAAGAAATCCACCAAATTTTCACCACGCTGCCTTCCTTTTACATCAATCTGGATATTAACACAATTGGTCTTGACTTCGTACTTGGTATTGCTTTCATTCCGATAATTCATCTACGTTTCATGATTGAAATTTAAAACTTACTGGTTTATATCAGGTGTAGAGCCCATATTAGGTTACAATGCTATACACTTGAGCCCATCTTATAATAATAATAATAATAATACATAAGATTTGTATGGCGCCAAATCCACTTGACAATCAACTGCTCAAGGCGCAGCTTTAATAAATATATACAAAAGTGCAATAGGGAATGTACAGATATGAAAGGTATTGGTACTCAATAAGAAGTTAAATTAAACATATGCTTGAGCAAAGTTAGCCTACTGAGCCGCAAAATGCTGCAGGAATATTTAACAAAATGTAATACAGGCAGATCTGATTATGTACTGGATTGAGGATGTAACCATCAATGCTGTCAGTGTTAATACTTTAATTAATCCTTTAAACTTAGAATTTACAATACTCCCCCCCCCCCCTATTCTAAAAAAAGAAAAAGAAGAAATGATAAAATGAAAAGAAATATTTTGTTTAACTCTTTCAACATTGCCTTCAAAGTACATGTATGTTTATTTACAGCTCATTTAAAAAGAATTGATGAAATTGACTGCTGTCTTTCGAAAGAAAAAAAGGAAACAAGCAAGAAACTTTTAATCTGTATTTATACATAGGCCTATGCCTAAAAGTATTCAAAGCACAGTTTTAATGGCTTTCATAGTGTGCTGGTGTATTTGAATATGGATTGTTCACTTGGCCTTAACATATATTCCAAGGCCATACATTTGCTTCTCATAGTGATTTTCCCCTATACAAGGTATTATGAGTAAGTCTGTTTTTGCTTCTACTATGAATCCGGAGGCCTATTTTACTATTACTTTAGGATTGTGAGGAAAATTATAAAATCTTCCAAAATGTTCTCAGAATAAATATAGGCCCGTTTGCTACCTGTATGCTTTCTTTTCCTAATTTGAATAATTTTCATTGTAAAGCTGCTATTCAGGTAAATTTGCTTTAACATTTTTCAGCAATACATTTTTTTTAAAGAGGCAATTAGTCCTCGTCATTCAAAACATATGTAAATATATGTAAATATATGTAGATATATATATATGCCACATGTAATTCAATTCAAAATTTAAAATCGTATACATGTATCGATATATTTTTCACTTTTCACTAACTGTATTTTTCTCTAGACACATGAGAGGACAGATCTAGCATTTGTATTATAGTATGCAAGCGTACACCACTCTAAATATTAGTCGGCCTCCTGCTTATCAAACGTGGCATGCAGCCCACCAAACTTGAGAACAAAGTCCGATATATATTGGCATGAAGCTTATGTTGAATATGTACATAGGTGCAACAGAAGGTGTTGTATTTACCGTAAGTAAATAATCATAAGCATATTGGCAATTATGTAGGCAATATCAAAACTCTAAAACGTTAGTGAGATTCGTTATAATTATGTGGTATGTGCAATGTATTTGTAATATGATTGTACCTTGTAACATAGCCAATGAAAACAGAATTAATATTTACTACCACGGATCAATAAAGAGGAAATGAAATGAAATGTGCATAAGCACAGTGCATTTATACCTTTTGCAGGCAGCAACACATTTTGCAACACTCTACACTCTATACGTGTATTTTACTTTCTTTCTTGAATTACTTGATGGTACTTGATCCACACAACTGCTCCAGGAGTGTCATTTTTGACAGACATGGCGCATGATAAATGTTCACTATTATTAATACTATCATTCATCACAAATATGACAGGTATCTCTTGCCTGTGAAATGTTAAGGTTAGCAGTGCCCTAGTATTCGAATGATGCAAAGAAAACTTTTAACTTTCTAGACTTTATACTGTCATACACTACCGAGAGACTGACTCACTTCTTTCTTTCTTTTTCTTCATCATACGCAGAAAACCTAAATTGTGTATTCTTTCATCAATATTCGTTTTCGGACACATTTATTCTGAAAATCCTTGCAGAAGTCAATGTTAAATGACATCCTCTTTCGCTTCATTATAAAATTGAAGTGAATGTTTACTATCAATTATTTGGGGCTCCCAACACTTTAGAGAAGCTTTAAAAAGATAGCAGGTCCAATATCCCCATAATTAGTAAGGCTTCAATTTGAACATAATATTGTAAACCAGAGTTACCAGACTATCGTATCTGAAGAGTATTTGCAGAATCTTATCTCCTAGAATTGACTCCCATTCTCGTTGTTGCCGTCTTGCTTAAATGTTTCATTATCGATCACAGTTTTGTCATTGAGATTGCTTTGATTGTAGCAGCCCACATTCTGAAAATATGAAATTTGTGGTGATTTGTACACATGGAGAATAATGAAGTTAGGATCATATGGAGTTGCCAATTTGTATTTTTGTAGCATTTAAATGATTCACTGAACTGTAAATCGAATCGAGTGTGATAACATCATTCTTACTTTAAATTTAAAGGACAGATCGAGGTGATTTTCAAGTTAATCCGAATAAAAAAGGAAAAAGAGGAAAAAGTTACAAATAGAACAGTAAGAATTTGTAAAATAGGACATGGATAAAGAAAGTTGTGGAATTTTTAAAGTTCTGCAAAATTTCCAAAAGCATTGATATGTATCGCACGGGTTGCATGCAAATTAGTGAGTTGATCTCATCGCCTCACAACTTCACTTTTGCTCTATTAGTTAGAACGAATTTGTAAGGAGACTGGCGTTGTTTCAATAAAATCTTTTTTTAATGAAGCATGTGATGTAGGCATTTAGGAATAAGTAGGATTTTTTAAATGTGTATTTATTTTTCAGTGAATGCTTACGGAAAGGTGCTCTTATCCAAAAGAGAAAAGTGGTTGATTACCTAATAGATGGTTATACGATTCCACTCTAGCGGCATACATGTAAATCGAGTGTGATAAGTTGCCTTGATGAGTTGTCCCTTTAGCTCATAAGAAATCTCGTTCCGTTCAAGACCCCCTGTTACTACATTTAAGTATGTTTTGAGATTTTTCATTTCACCGGAATTAATTTTCCCCTTTAAAGTGCTGTTAAACATTTTGAGGATGAACAAACCCACAACAAAAATCTAATGTGTATAGGTTATTAACATTAGCCACCATGGATATATTTTTCAGAAATAACGTTTCTTTGTGAATCAGAAAGCGTTCTATGTAATGGTTTTATAATTATATGAAGTACAGTGTGTATTTATAACATGTCATATTTCCAACAAAAAAATTCTATAAAATCTCATTTATTTACATGCGTTTATATTTGTAATATCTGTATAGCCAATATTCTTACTTGATGTAGCATAGTGCAGCTCAGTTTTTCTTTAGTTCTAACAGTTTTTACATATTATATAAAATTTATCTTGCACAATATGTCGTTTGTTTCTTGAAATTGAAATTCAGCTTTTGGCTGAAAAGGACTTAAGTTTGCAATAATAACGAGCCATTTTGTATGGAATTTATTGGACGAAATCAATAAAGAATGATCATATTCAGACAGTTTGATGCATTCCGTTAATTATCTCTACTTTTAACAAATACCATATTGCTCCGGTTGTCTCATTTCGCTCGCTGGAACACTGCCAGCACAAACGTAGCTCGTTCGACGTAACTACCAAACTAGCCAATCAGCTGTCTTTGACGTCATATTGTATGCGGTGGCAAATATATTTTCTGAAATTATTGAAAAATCGACTATTTCTAATCGCAAACTTGCAAACAATTTTCATCGCTTGCTTTGCTCGCTCACAAATTAATTTTCAGACCATCACACCCAACTGCAAAGTATGATGCTCAAGCAATATCTTATATGATCAATAAAGAGATACAAATATTGAAATCATCCCTGATAATGTAATCAAAATGTAGGGGTATATACCAATGTCTAAAAATGTGTATATTTTCGCTTTGAGATTTCCCTTTGTAGGTGCCTTTTTTTTTTCTTCCAGAAAGTGCCCTTTTTTGTTGGTGCCTCCCTACTTTGGAAGTCCTCCGCCGCCTCTAACCTAACCCTATCCCTAATCGTAACCGTAACCCTATTTGATGTTTATATATCATATTATTATTAGATATATCATATCCTTATTTAAGCTGTACCCATATTTGTTTTGAGGGGTGAAAAGTAGGTTGAGCTATCCGCCAAAGCACCCCACCCTGGACAGCTTGACCTCGTCGAGTTGTTCAAGGTATTTGGTCGGGTTGTCGAGGGTCGGGCTGTCCGGGGGTCGAGCTGTTTGGACCTCTGAAGTTCAAGTGTATATTATATGGGCCAGCGTCATAGAGCGACATGGGCGTTGTGGCGTTCGCCTGCAATCCAGCTAACAATGAAAGTTACAAATGGATTCAGCCGAGGACGCAGGTTCAAAACTGAGTCATGTCTTTCAGATGGTGACGTTTAAAGGTCGGTCACCAGACGTAAATAATCAAAATATGATTGATACATGTCTGTAAACTGGCGACCATTAAGGAAGGAGGCTAGCCACCAATAATGTGGGCTATAGTGTCTCCAAATCGTACAATCGAAAAGGAAAAAGAAAATTAAGCACGTCTCGGCAACGGGACATAGATTTGGATATCTTTAAAACTATCGAATGACATTGGAACGAAAAGATAACCTAATTAGTTGTACATACTAAACCTGCTCTTTACTGCGGTATATTTCACATGATAAATGTCTTTTGTGTAGGTCTTACCGTTTCAGATTGGGCTCAAACCGGCACAGCGGAGGGCTTATCCGCACAACACATACAACAATGGCGAAAATACGTTTTTACATATGAAGGCTTTTAAAACTATCGTATGACATCACAGCTGCTTAATGTTTTACACCATTTGAAAGCTGAAACCGTGCTCTTTAGCCTCATAATATAATTATATCAAAATTTTATGTCTGGGTGTTCCTGTTTTGGGTTTAAATTGAGGCTTAAACCGGCATAAAGTGACATTTACCTATGAAATTGACAAAATGCGTATTCATTTTGGAAGGCTTTCCTGCGACCTTTTAACTAAATAATGCCAATATAAAATGATGATTTCAGTTTGTGCTCTTGACTCTCATATATGTCACATACTTAAAAAAGGTCTGTGTCTTTCAGATTAATATTTTATTTTGTTATATCTAGGGACTAGGGTACTGTTAGGTACCCCGAGCAAGAGTTCCCTTCTGTCGTTACCAGCCATGGCACGTGGAGCCAGGCTTGCAGAGGAGCAGCAATTGAAAATTTTGCAGAATTTAGCTAAAAACAGCCAAATTATGGCATAATGCCAGATGCTAAAAGGGTCAAAGTTATGCCAGAAAGCATAATTATGCCAGATCTGTATTTTAGCCATTAATGGGTGTATAGTGCCC